TCAGAGGCATCAGTTCCCTTGGCACTGGAGTTACAGCTAGTTGTGAGTTGCCTGATGTGGGTGCTGGAAACTGAAGTCAGGTTTTCTGGAAGAGCAGCCATGTTTTTAAGCACTGAGCCCTCACTCCATCCCAATCATGTTTTTTAAAATTTATTTATTATTTTTATGTGTATGAATGTATTGCCTGCACGTGTGTAAGTTCAGAGGCATCAGTTCCCTTGGCACTGGAGTTACAGCTAGTTGTGAGTTGCCTGATGTGGGTGCTGGAAACTGAAGTCAGGTTTTCTGGAAGAGCAGCCATGTTTTTAAGCACTGAGCCCTCACTCCATCCCAATCATGTTTTTTAAAATTTATTTATTATTTTTATGTGTATGAATGTATTGCCTGCACGTGTGTAAGTGCATCTATGTCATGCAATGCTCACGGAGGTCAGAAAAGGTACCAGATCCCCTGGAACTGGAGTTATAGACGGTTGTTAGCCACCATGTGGGTGCTGGGAATCGAACCTGGGTTCTCTGCAAGAGCAGTACCAAGCTTCCCTGTTAAACTGACATTGGATTTCGAATAAAGAGGAATAAATGTGAATGAGAGAGAGCTGGTTTGGGGATATAGTGAATGAATGAAGGCCGATTTGATTGTAGGATTCAGTCTGGAGTTTCTTGGCATTCCTTCCCTGGTTCCCAGAAGCCTGTTTTCCCTTTGCGAGTTCTTTTGTGATGCCAGATCTCAGATGCTGGACACGTCCTAGGTGGTCCCCTTCTTGGTTCCAGGTCTTTGTTTGCGAGATTGGATTACAGATCCTGGTCCAGTTCATGGGCAGTGCTTCACAGATGAAGTCTCAGATGCAGATTCTACATCTGGGCATTCCATTAGGAGTGTGGTTTTAAATGCTGGTCACCCTGTGCAGTTTCATTTGTCTAGAGTACTGTTTGGAGCTTGTGTGAAGTTCCTCTGCCAACTCTGGCTCCCAGTAGGTTTTCTACTTGCTGAGTACTGTGGCTCTGATTTAAAGTTTCTTACCTCCAGTCTAGCAGTGTTCTGTTGGCCAAGTTTCAGTGTACAGTCCTGTGATTCTTGCTCTGAGTTCTTCTGAGAGTGTGCCTCACAGAGGGTTTTGGGCTGCCTAGACATCTACACAACAGGGGTCTTTCTGAAATTACATTTCACTGCTGTGAGTACCTACCACTGAATTTTCTTGGCATCTCTTTTGCCACTCCTGCTGCTGTACTGGATCTGCCTGTGCGTCTCTCTGTCTGTCTGTCTCTTTCTCTCTCTTTCTCGCTCTCTCTTTCTTTTCTTTTCTTTTTAAAATGTTTGTTAGTGTGCTGGGGAGATCACTCAGCAGGTAAAGGCACTTGCCACCAAGCCTGACAACCTGAGCTGAATCCCTGGGACCCACATGGTAGAAGGAGAGAACTGAGTCCTGACCTCCACATGTGCTCTGCCATACACACACACACACACACACACACACACACACACACACACACACACATGTAATAAAGTAAGTTAAAATGTCTGTTACTGAAAGCACAATGCAGATGTACAAAGCCTCTTTGGCTGCTGCTCTTGGTGCTCCTTCTCACTGGGAACAGAGGGCTCCCCAGACTAAGCCAGTCCCATTGGGAAAGACTCTGGATTTTCCTGCTTTCTAAAGTTTCCTATTTTACTTTGTTATTTATAAGAGCTAGAACTGTTTCACCCCCTTCTTCTGATGACTGTTACCCAGACTTCTCCCCTTTTATTCCCTGGAGACTCTGGGAGCCCATACTGAGGTGCCATTTACCATCTTTGAAATTTCTCTGAGTGATCCTTCTTTAATGGTAGTGTCCCTAACTTATCTTGCCTTTTCTAGGTCCGAGCTCATCAGTTGGTTCTTCCACCATGTGATGTTGTGATCAAGGCTGTTTCTGAGTATGTTAGTTCCATCAAAGACCCCTCAAACCTGGATGTGGTTGGGAAGGATGTTTTCAAACAGTCTCAGGTAAGTTAGCTTTCCCTTTCTAAAAGTCACCAGCTTTTTTTTTTCAGTTTTTTAAAAGTTTGATTTTGTGTGTGTGTGTGTGTGTGTGTGTGTGTGTGTGTGTGTGTGTGTAGGTCCGAGGTCAACCTCTGGGAGTTGGTTCTCTCCTTCTACCATGTGGGTCCTGGGGATGAAACTCTGGTCACCAGGCTTGCTGAACCATCTCACTGAACCTCACCAGCATCCTTACATTCTCTTGCAATACCACCAACTCCCCATTCTTTGTGTGGCCTATCGTTTCCCTTTTCCTAACTGCTTGTTTTCCTTTGCTTACTAACTGAACCCCTAAAATGTTCTTGAAAAATATTATGAGGCCTGAATTGAAAGGGTTCTTTTTTTTCTCTACTGATGATTAACATATTACACAAATATTCTGAAAAATTTAGAAGATACATAAGCCACCTAAAACGTCATTACCTAGAAACAATTTGCTATAGTTAATACTCATGTGTTTTTCTAGATATTTATGCTGGGGATTGAACATGGGGCCTAACATAGATGAGTGCTCTAACAGTGAGCTACACCCTCATCCAATTTTAGTGTACACATATTTTTTAATTTAAAAAATATTTATTTATACCTCTGTGTATGTGTGTGTGCGTGTGTGTGTGTTGCGTGTGTGTGTGTGTGTGTGTGTGTGTGTGTGTGTGTGTGTACATGCACATGTCCCACAGTGCTGTGCTGAGACACATGGAGGTCAGAGGAGTCAGTTTTCTTCTTACACTATGTGGGTCCCCAGGATCAAACTCAGTTGTTCAGGCTTAATGACAAGAGCCTTTAGCCACTGAGACATCTTTCCAGTTCTTGGTGTATATTTTAACATAAAAGATGTCTTAGAGCTGAAGAGGTAACTCAGCAGTCAAGAGCTCGTACTGTTTTTACAGAGGACCTGACTTTCAATCCTAGCACCCTGTTGAGCAGCTCACGACTGTCTATAACTCCAGCTTTGGAGCATCTGATGCCTTTGGCCTCTTCAGGCACTTGCACTTACTTGGATATATATATCCAGAAACAGATATATGCACACATAACATGTAATTTACAAACAATAAAAGGATGTCTTGCACTGGAAGATAAAATGAATAAGGAAAAAGATTATTTAAAATGAGTGCACATAAAATAAGGATCAAGGGCCTGGCGAAAGGGCTCAGTGGGTGAAAGTGCTTGCCACCAAGCCTGACAACCTGAGTTTGATCCCCAGGACTCTCATGGTAGAAGGAGAGAACTGACTCCTGAAAGTTGTCCTCTAACATAGACATGCACACACAACACACACACACACACACACATACACACACACACACACACACAAATGAATGAATGAATAAATAAGTAAAAAATTTAAAAACCACAAAAACCAAGAATCAAAATAATTGTTACTATTGGCAGAAAGGGCTCATCCAGTTACAAAAATTAGTTTTATTATTAGCAGGCCTAGAACTCAATATATAGACCAAACTGGACTTGATCTATGAGATCCACCTGCCTGAGCCTCCTGAGTGCTGATCAAAGGCATGTGCCACCCACCACCACCACCACCCCTGGTTGAATTTTCTACTTTTATTGTTAGTTTTTTAAATTAACATATAGTCAAACTGGGTTTTGGGGTTTTTTTTCTTTTGTCTTTTTGAGATAAGATCACCCTGTAGCCCCAGCTGGCCTGGCACTGCTGTGTAGACCAGGCTATCCTTGATCTCACAGAGATCTGCCTGTCTCTGCTTCCAGAGTGCTGGGACTAAAGGCGTGCATCACCATGCCTGGCTTACTTGTACATTTCTGTGAAATTTTTGACATATTTATTTATGTAATCATCACAACTAAAATGTAGAAAAGTTGTAATATCCTCTCTAAACAAAAACTCTCGGGTTATACCTTTGTTATACCACGGAAACCCACTCTTATTTTTATTCTCACACTGTTATATCTTCTATAGAATAACATATGCATGGATTGAATAGTATGTAGCAGTTTGTGAATGTCTTCTTTCATTCATGTCATACTTTTAAGATTCTTTCAAATGCTGGGTGTGAAGGTACACACCTTTGATCCCAGCTCTTGGGAGGCAGAAGCAGGTGGATCTCAGTGAGTTCAAGGCCAGCCTGGTCTACATAGTGAGTTCCAGGCCAGCTGGGGCTATAGGGAGACCCTGTGTTTAAAAGAACAAAAAAATAAAAAAGATTCTTTGAAGTTAGGCTTGAGAGATAGCTCAGGAGTTTAGAGCATGTTCTGCTCTTGCAGAAAACCCAAGTTCAGTTCCCAGCACCCATGTCAGGTGGCTCACAACTGCCGGTAACTCCAGATCCATGGGGTTTGGCACCCTCTTCTGGCCTCCACAGGCACCTCCCAACATGCGACATATACTCACACTATCATATACACAAACACATAATATTATAAAAAAATTTTTTAAAGGATCTTTTGGGGCTGGAGAGATGGCTCAGTGGTTAAGAGCACTGACTGCTCTTGCAGAGGACCTGGGTTCGATTCCCAGCACCCACATGGTGTCTACGAACTGCCCTTAACTCCAGTTCCAGGGGAATCTGAAGCCCTCTTCTGACTTCTGCAGCAGTGCACGACACGAGTGGACTCACATACATGCAGGCAATACACTCATACACATAAAATTAAAATAATAAATAAAATATTTTTTAAAAAGGATCTTTTAGGGACTGGAGAGATGGCTCAGTGGTTAAGAGCACTGACTGCTCTTGCAGAGGACCTGGGTTCGATTCCCAGCACCCA